TTGAGAAACTTGTTTAAAATATATCAGATTAAATTTTTCTTTAATTTTGTATTATTGAAATTAATTGTATTTAAATTTTTACAGATAGGAACAAAAGTTATTCATACATTATACAAAACAGATATTTATCTCTGGACACCGTTTTACAAAGAAGTTTCTCATGTGTTGGTAGACATAGTTGCTAGACTAAGAAACGGTTTTTGCGAGAGCAAAGCCACGGTGGTTTTTTTGTTATTATTTATAAGCACACGCCTTTTTCCGACGTTTCTTTCTAGTATAATTATAAACTGAAGGCCAAGTAAAAAGTGCCCGCACCGACGACCGTATGAATAGATTGATAAATGTGGAGGAGGGGAAAGAAATCTGAATCGGAGAGCGTTTGAAGTTTTTTTTTTATTTCTTCCTACCCAAATGTGAGATGGTCGTATAATATATATTTATTATCCTAATAGTATGTACTTAGTCAGCATCAGTTGATGTACATTAATAAATTTTTATAATCCCTAAATCCGTTGTACCTCGTCGCCTAACAAGATACGCGCCAAAATCGGATTAACATCGTAAAAGGTCAAAATTTTGCTGAACACTTCATGTAATGATTTATGTATATTTGTATAACGGTGTATTGGAATTTTGATAAATTCTGTGTATCGAATTTCGAAACCGACTCTAAATTAAACAAAAATTATATTTTTATGATGTGTCTTTTTTCACTGTGTACCTTTATATGCTGATATAGTACCATGACAGATGGATGAATGGACAAAGTCGCACCATAAAGGTTCCTTTGTACTTTTTTAGTATGAAACGCTGAAAAAAACACGATAAAAATTACTTATACGAGTAGTTTTATAATACGTGACCTAGGCCAGTAAGTGGAAGAAAAAAAACCGTGGAAGTTTCTTTTAATAGCTTAACTATATCGTGGATAAATATCTTATATATTTTTTGTGGTTACTTCACTCCAAATTCCACGCTAATGAAATCGTGCACAGTAGAATAACAATGAATGCCAAAATTATACTAAAAAAACAAGCAAGTCATTTACATTTTTCTTTTAAGTAATATTTTATTGAATTAGGTGTTACTTTGCAGAAGTCCATATTACTAATAGGGAAGGCTTAAGATCTCCTACTAATAATAATAGTAGTCAATCCTCAAATGCTGGTAGTTGCAGATTTGTCAATAATAGCGGATTTAAACAAAAATAGTAACTAGTAACTTTAGGTAATAAGGAGACGTTGCAAAATGACCAGTCAAATCATGAAATGGTAAAACATCGCGTTAAAAAATAAATGACAGTCTACATAGCTACATATAAATTATGTATTTTTAAATCTTATGTTTACTATTTTAAATTATTTAAACTACTACTTAGCTGTGTCCCGCGACTTCGCTTATGTTATTCAATGTTAATATATAACCTATCCGTGTACTAAATTTTATTCAAATCTGATCGGTAATTTTTGCGTGAAAGAGTAACAAACTTCTATCCGTATAATTATACTGACAAATCCTGAAAAACCTGGACGAAGTTGAAACCACTACTGGAAACGAAAGAGTAAATTCATTAAATTCATGAAGTCCAGTTATATAGAAATAAGTTCTTGAATAAGATATCAAAATTATCATACTATTATTTATAAAAAAATAATAATAATAAGTAATAAGCACAAACAGTATACCAAGAAAATAATTCAAACATTCACTGTGCGACAAAAGGACATTGACATCTCTACCGACAAAGTGTACGAGCCCCACTATTTTTATCAAGAAAAAATATAAAAGAGACACCCTCGGGATTAGAGGCGCTGCCTTATTTTTCTGCTGATATTTACGCAGGTTGGTCATAAGGAAAATGTTTCATAACGTCTGCCCTTGATATAGACATGTCCGGACCGAAATTCCCCCGTTTCAGCAAAGCAAACTTTACCTGGGAATAATAAAAGTCACAACAAATACGAGTATGAAGCTGAAGCGCGTCGTGTTTGTCACCTTATATTATGCTAGCTTAGTATCTATCGGTAACATCTATATAATGTTCGAAAACGACAAACATAGTAGATTCATATAGTATATAAGTATAGATACATATTTAAAAACACACACATATACACACACACTCTGTTACGTCCATGGTTCTGCCCATGCCTATAGGCGACGGTTCCCCTTTTCATCAGATAGGCCGTAAGCTTGTTTGACTTTCTAAGCTACATAAAAAAAAACTTTAAATGGACGATGTCTCACAGGATTTTTTTGAAAAGTCAAAACATTAATTCTTAAAAAGTTTTGGCTGTTTGTCTGTAAGTTTATTTCGACATCACACAAAACATACAGCATCAAATTGGTTACGATATTAATAATTGTAATTTTGAAAGTCTAACTCGGACTTAAAATCTGGTAACTATATTTTATCTTGATACAATATCTAGAAGTGGTAAGAGTATGTAACGCTTAACGCAACTTAGTACGCGCGTAGAAAATCTACGCGTATTAAGTTGCGGGCAAAAGCTGCGATAATATATTATAAAAATAGTTACTAGTAGCTATTAGTAATGAATAAATCAACATCATAGGGATTGTTCGTATGTAAACTAATAAGCTCCACTGCTAACAATATTCTATCAGATCGCCTACAAAGCGGTATTCTTGGAAACTGCAGTTAATTCATGGTGAAATCATCACGACAGTACGGGGGCAGGTTTGATACTTAACTATCAGTAAATAGCTTTTGGTAACATCAAGTAGTTTAAAAGCATGAGATTTAGTTTTTATAATAGATATTTGCTCCCTTGCTTGAGATACTTGCAGCTTCTATTTCTATGTCTATGACCAACCTATTTGTAGATTTTATTTAACAAAGAACGGTTGGGGACATATTGGGTAGGATGATTTGATAGTATCCCTACCCTACTTTTTATACACAATTTAGCATGTCAATATCAAAAGTTAGTTGGGTTTGTATGATGAGAGATCGGCTTGATCAATCAACTCCAATGATCGTGCCATTTTAAATCTTGTGTCCTTCACAGTTTTAATTTTTATCAATTTTAATAAATTTTTAAATAATGACAAACTCTCGAGTAGCTGTAATTACTATCGATAAAAAAAAAAACTCACGAGACAGCATTGATCACATTCAATAAAAAATTATTAATGAAATATGAATGATTATTTTATATTATATACAACCCATTATACTCTGTGTGTTATCAGGTGTTATTATGGATAACAGGCCTTTTTTATTAATGATAATGGAACGGTAACCCTGGTATCATCGGTGCTAGTGGTAAGCTCTGGCAATGAGGTAAGGATGAGAACAGGTCGGTTAGCCCATTGTGACGAATTCATCAAAAATTAACTACCATGTTTTCCAGGGGGAACTGCATGGGGGTCGACCTGATAGAGTATATTATTAGCAAGGGATCAGTTGAATCTTAGTACTAACAGTACCTTTTCCTAACTAGTCACAAAAACCATAGAAAAAAGTTACTAACACATAACTTACATAACTTGGTTTTCCACCCTGCAAGGGGTTTGGCATAAAGATAGATAAAAATAACTTATTAACATGATATTATGATTATTAGATAGTCTACAGCTTCAAAAATTTCATCCAATATCATTGTTTTACAGTGAAAAATGGCAAAATGTCCCTTGCTACCAAGATTATATTACATCATGTAGGATATACCTAACACAGAGTACATTCACATAGACTTGTTAATGATGTTTACTATAACTGAGATTCCAATAGTTGTAATTAACTAGGCAACTTTAGAACAAGTTTATAAGAACTTGACAAATATTATTTAGATATTTTTATTGTAATGTAGAAAATTAAATAATGAAAAGGAGTAAAAACGTGTATAGAAAAATATGTTATGAATTGTTAAAATAAATATAATTAACACCATATTTGTTCTAACTATATAATGACCAATTCCTCTAATCAGATTAGTGTAACTACAGTAAGGCTGAAATATGATTTTTTTAAGTGTTGAGTAGTCACTAAAAAGTATAAGTAAAGTTCATAATTCCCAATCGTGTTTCTTCATTTTATACATTGCTTAAAATTTACTTGACTACATTAAAATAAAATTGTTAAATTACTCGTATAAAGAAATTCCTGTATGTTGTTGTTCTGTACAAATATTAGTAACTATATTACTAACATAAAACAAATATTTGATATATCTTTTTGGAATTAATATAAATTAATTGTAATCTTCCCTCTTAAATCCCCTAAAATCCCTTTCTTAGCCTTGTGTACATTTTGTCTGAGTGACTTTTTTTGGTACCCCAAATTAAATAATTGATATTATATAATCCATGGTTCAACAGCAGCATCCTCGTAATGAAAATCAAGTTGCTAATGGCAGAAAAAACAAAAAGAAGTGCATGTAGCTTAAACTTAATCATGCATATTTTGTTTCAACAGAGCTTAAAGAAAAGGTTACCAAGTTTATCACAGAAATACTCTCTCAATGAAATTACTTAGTAACAATTAATTTGTTAAATCAAATAATCTAATTTTAATTTATACTGCATATTATAATATAATTTTATTTGTATATTGGGCTGTTCTAATTTAAGGTTAATTAACATCTGAGGTTAATTATTTGTTTGTTTACATTTTCATAAGATCTATTAATACAAATTATAATACTTAAGATTATATCTACTCTATATTTAATTTTAATATATTATATTAGTATATTGTGTTTATTGTTAGACTTATTGGAATAATTATCTTTTTCTCTCAAGGTTAAAATGATTAGTTTCTAATACAAAAAAAATATATATATTTCATTAGCTACATATGTCATATCGCAATTAGTTGGAAAAGATATCTAGATATAAATTAAAAAATAATAAGTCATATTTTCAAAAAGGTAAACAAATTGTACAGCAAAAGTAAAAATTTACATAAACAAAAAAATGAAAAAAAAATGAAAAGATAGTTTTCTTATCAAGATATTTATAAGACATTAACTAACCTGGTCAGGACAAAAATATCCAAATGCCACCATCCCAAAGAGTGAAAGCAGTAAACAGAACAGTATCACTCGCCGGAGCTTCGATCTTGGCTCCATTTTTTTTATTTCATAGGCACCGCTAGGCAGCAACAAAGCGAAATCACTATCTACTTGCACTGATACACTTTTTTGCATTTCGGTCGAATGCATGTCTCATTTTTACAAAAATATCTTCAGCTAAAAAATCCACTGCTCAGATTGTCTCCGTAAACGATACTATAAATGTTCGAAAGCAAAACTTAAAAACATGTCACATTATTGTTATCGTGTTTAGATTACCTATCTGATTATTTATTAGATAACATTGTTTTTATTGATATCATTCGGAATATATACTAGTACAAACAAAACGAAAACCGAGATCGCAAGACCAACACAAGACAAACGAAACAAGCAACTGACTGAATGAATGACATGACACTCATGACAGATAAACTAGAACTTCAAGAATGAGATATACTTATGAAGAAGCGAGAAAACAAATATAGCATAGACAAAAATTAAAGTACATCATAGTGCATATTAATAGATACGTAAACGGTCATGCTAAAAAAATTCAATTATATGTAATATAGGCTAAACACCTTCGGAAATCTCGGTCTCTATTTTCTTAGGCATTTGTTTAAGGTCTTATGATTTTCAATTTATTTATGAGCCCATAATCAATAAGAAGGGAAAGATTAACCTACAAACTAAAAATATGGCCTCATGTAACTACCAAAAATAATTTTCATAAATTATAACGAATATAGGTAAATGAGATATAATAATATATCATATATAATAATTATTTGAAGTCTATATAGCTGTGTTAAACGAGCTTATGAATTTTTATACAAAAAATGTTTTAAATTTCTGATTACGTAGGATATATTTAAAAAAGAAATATGAATTCTCGTAATGAGAATATAAAGAGAAAAATATAATTTTTATAACTTTTGTCTGTCATTCGATTTTTCCGTTATCACGCAAAAACTACTGTACTAAATTGGTAGCCGTTTTCACAATTGTGTTCCTAAAGGGCGGACTTAAAATGTGTCTAGGTGTTACTAAACTTCAAAATCTATACGTAAAAATTGTAAATAAAAGCTTTTTAATTTTAATTGAATTGAATTGAATATATGTATATAATATTATAATAGGAATGGATGACATACAATTTGGGCTCTTACTCGCAATAAACTTTATCATGACGACCTCCTCGCGGTTCTCCCTGGAAAAAATCGTGATGGATTTATTATTGAATTCGTCACGACGGGCTAATTATACCGATACCGCTCGCCATCCACGAGGAATCCATCCTCACAGATTCAATCTTGTAATTGTTTGTATCTGTAATAAATCTATTATTGTAATATTTTGGAGGAAACAGTAGATTATCTATCTCACACCTTAGAAGCTAAATGGTCATGTAGAGTGCCATTTCAGAGAAGCTTCCTCCCGCGAACACTCAGGCTTTCCCTAGAGACTACAGTATGGCGTTTTCAAAAAAGGGCGTATTAAGGTTTCATAAAAATCAGCAAAGCGAGTGTGACAGGCCTGATGATATAGATTACAGTAACCTTGTTTACCATCAGCCGGCCTGTATGGTCGTTTGCTATCATAGTAGTATAAAAAAAGGTAAGGTGGGGTTAACATTGCATTAACATATCTGATGGCAAGGAATTAGACCGGCTCCATGCCAGCACCGGTCCACGTAGTAGCCACGGATCTCCCACATTACATTAACATCCATTAAAAAAAAAGAAAACAAGAATTGTATTATTTATCAAGCTTAATAATTTAGAAGTGGTCAAGAGGGAAAGTGTCTAGTGTGACCTGTATAAAAATTTACGTCACAATCATGGTCACGTTTACCTCAGTATTTTTAGAATTCCGAGTTTCTATTCGTAAGAGGTGCAGTTCTTAATACAAATTATCAACATAAATTTTGTTTAAAACTTATACTAGGTACTTAGGATATATAATAACAAAATAACACAAAAGATCTATGATAGGCTTTAATCCAGTATCAGTTTTAGGAAAACGTTATATTGGTTCGACATAATTTTTATAAATCAACACTTCATGCGTGATTATGGAAAATTAATTTCCTTTATATAATATCACGATAAAACTAAAATATTAAAACAAAAAAAAAAAAATAGAATGCATCAGCAAATTCCTAACTACAAATTATTTAAATTGACGATAAAAAAATAAATTGTGTGGCACTAGCTCTAGATGTCTAATCGAGTCAAAGAAATCCAAGTTAAACAATTCAAAAGGCACTTTAAAAATTAAGGTGGGGATATAATAATATACATATAATAAGTATATTGAATGATAAAGTGGATGATACATCGTTCGTCAAATTTCTCTCGTCACACTGTAGTTGCACTTACAAATAGCATATAATAAAGACAATATGTATGTACATCTTCTAAAAATCAATGGAGAACAATACATAGTTTAACCTACAACTAAAGAAAAACATAAGAAAATAAAATTCTGAAATCATATCAATATACTTCACAATGATTTTTATTTCTGGTAATAATGAAACTGTTATTTTTGTATTACTTACATGTCACTCAAAATTAATATTTTTACAACAAAATGTTATATAATACAGTATGTAGAATATGGAACTCAATGCCACGAGAGAATACACAAACTGGTTTTGTTATTGGTATTAAAAAAATGTATACAAAATGTCCTCACCTCTTTGATTACAATATTTCTGTAATATAAAAGTATTAGGTCACCACACCATTGATATAGGTAAAATGTATTAACATTTTTATTAGGTTGATGAAGACACTGATGATCATGGTATTGTTTTAACACTACACTCATAACTGAGCACAACATATTGATGTTAATTTTATCATTTAACTCCACCGGTCCCTAAAAAGGATCAACTCCTCTCACCACAGAATTTCCTAGTTATAAAAATTACTATATTTTATTGATTCAGTCCACAAATTTGAAATAAAGTCCACAATTCACTCAACGTCATGTGCCACGTAACTGGCACATGATGAATGTTGTTAATGTTCGGTTCACTATGCGTTTGTTTAATTAAACGTTCATCCAGTACAAAATATTTAGCACATTTTAATTTGTTGAAAGTTTTTCCATTAGCGTTGCACTGTTTAAAACAATCAATACTCTATGTTATATATAAATTGTTCAGATTGACGCAACATGGGTCACATTACGATTGATGCATCTTTGCTGCTCATGTATGCGGCTAAACATACATAAATATTATCTGCTTTGTAATACGGTACCAATTATTAACTCGAGTACTAGTTGTCTATGGGGAGAAGCCAGTCCTCAAATTGTTCTCACATGGTATAGGCATCCAATCAATTACGAGGACGTCCACGCCCGCGTGACCCGTCACGGTCCTGAAACATACATTCAGAAATGTAATTTTATATCTATAGTAATCTACGTGCTAAACACATATCTAAACAACACATATATGCTAAACATAATCATAATTATTTATTTATTTACAAAAGAGATTAAAATAATTTAATTGCGATTTGTGAGATGAGAGAGATTACGAAATGGAGAGTGAATAAAAATTACTCAAGCTCTAATAATATTTTTTATTCACTCTCTTTTCTAATAATATCCCTATCGACTAGACAAGTCATAATTTTGCCGGTGGTCCCGGCATAGAATGGGCCACCCCTTTCCTTCCTATGGGTATCGTAAGAGATGAATATATATATTCTTTATTGCACTTGTAAGTTACATATAAAATAATGTATTTATGTTGTGAGTAAGGGTGGACATATCTCTATACAGTAAGAAAGCATTTCGTTAGCGGGCAGTTGAAGCGCTACAACTATTAATACATAAACAAATATACAGTTAAATAAAATATTAAAATATATAATAAAATATTAAATAAATACATACACTATAAATACATATAATACCTACCTACTTATATAATAAATGTTAATAAAGGAGTTGTAATATTGTTATAATAAGGGAGTTTAATGATCGAAGGTTGGGCAGCAGTTGCCAACCCGCCTGCCAAGCATGGCTACTACTGACAAAACCTCCCTTATGGAAGAGGACTATGTTCAGCAGTGGACAGTTAACAGCTAATATGACGATGTCATGACGATCATAATTCTAATATTCCAGATTGTATATATTATATGAAGTATATAAACATTAATAGCGTAATCAACCCTCCTAGAGAAAGTAGAAACGATTCTAATGAAATCGTTTACGCTAGCGAGTCATGAGATAGAACGAAATGGCGATGCACATTGTCTTGTTCTTTCTCATGTTAACGCTGTGGGACTCAATTCCAATAATACAATTTATTTGTACCTTGTCTATTGGAGCTGTATGCATCTATATAAACCCAAATAGTCGTATATATCTAATTATAGCTACGCCCCGCAGCTTTATAACATAGAATACTTTATCAGTACTTAAATTATTCTATGTCCGTAGTCAAGATCTACCCATGTACAAAATTTTATTCAAATCCATTCAGTACTTTTTGCATGAAAGAATGAGAAACATTCCACCAACCAATCCATCTATCCTTTTAAACTTTCACATTTATCATTATTATGACACGGCTCAATCAATAATAATTATTATTATTATGAGAAACAATAGAACGTATGTGTATTGTATTGTAAAATCTTTATTGTAATCATACGGAATACATTAAAAGATTTAATATACAATGTGTGTGTCAAGAGAATGTCAATATTTATATATAATTAAGTCAAAGAACTAACCTTATGATGAGGTCTGTAATTGGAGTCACGATCACGATACCCGTGATCGCGGTTGTCTCGTCCATCACGATCATCGCGATGATCACGATGATCCCGGTGATCACGAGGATCACGGGGATCACGAGAGTCGCGGTGGTCGCGCGAATCTCGAATATCACGAGGATCACGATTATCGCGATTGTCGCGGCCATCCCGCGAGTCGCGGTGGTCCCTCGGCTCACGATTATCGCGATGATCCCGTCCATCTCGACCGTCGCGGCCGTCGCGATGATCGCGGTAGTCGCGATAGTTACGATAACCGCGCCCATTCTCATGATCGTCACGATTATTGTCCTGGTTATTATGATGTGGCACCTTCCGCGAGTCCTCCTCCTCCTGACGCCGTTCGTAATGAATAAAATCATCAAAAATAGACGTCGAGTGACAATAACTATGCATTATACGCAACACTTGAAGGCCTTTTGCGTGTGGAACCTCCTGAGTGTCACGAGAGTTTGTAACTGGTTTATTTTCGTTATTCTCTAATTTGATATAACGAAGTTGCACATTCGGAACGTCTTTAACATAAATCCACCTAACTCGAAATTGTCCCTTCCACTTATCCTGCGACCATACGGATGAGTTAGAATTATAGTCGACTGCACTCGTCATGCGTGCCATACCGCAAAAATGGCCGCTACCATTTACCGAAAAGAACAAATAGACTACACCTCCTTCCCGTTCGCGCTCGCGATATGCAGCATCTAGTCTTTTGTTGCCATGTTCTGTACTGCACCAAATTTCATACTTAATACTACGGTGGATATCATCCTCCGAGTAGGACTTAATGACAAAAAATCGGGCGAGTGGAGCACTTAAATCAAACTCCTTAGGATTATAATCGTTCTTGACGCGTAATTCGTCAAGTACAGGATGAGGTGTAGCCGGACTTGTTTGTACTGGCGGCGCAGCGGCAATAGGAGGCGCAGGCATCGGCGGACGTGGCTGATGTGGCTGATGAGGCTGGTGTGGCTGATGTGGTTGATGCGGCTGATGCGGTTGGTGCGCCTGGTGCGGCTGATGTGGTGGTGGCGCCCGCGGAGCGTGGGCCCACGCGGGCGGTGCCTGGTGCTGTGGTGGGGGGCCGCGCTGCAGTGAAGCTGGCGTCGACGCCGGTGGAGCCGTTTGAAGCGGCACCGCTGGGGGCACTGGCTGAGGTTGTAACGGTGGTGGAGGCGGCGCCGTGACAACAGGTGCACTCTTGCCAGCATCCCACGCATTTATTTCTAAATTATGTTTGCCGGGTATTATGGGCGGAGGGGGCATCCCCGGTCCTTTTTTCTTGAGTCCAGTGCTCTGAGAAGACGGAGCAGGTTTGGCAGGTTGGCTCGCGATCGATGCCCATGTCATCTTTTTGGGTTGCGATCCACCTGATACGTCCTTGAGCTCTGAAGCCCGGTCTTTGTCCATTTTATGCTCTCCGAGAGAGAGCGCCTGTACTCCCGTCTCAACTGCCTTGATGCCATCAGGCACGTACAGGCCATCGGCCCTGTAGTAATCATCGTACTGTTTTGCGCGACCCAACTGACCCCATGTGGAATAATCTCCATTGCCATGGAAATAATTAAAAGTTGAACCTGGCTGACCAAATGCAGCAGTTGAGAAAGCAGTTGTTGAAGGTCCAAATACACCTGAAATGGTAACATTGAATTGTTACGAAAAGATACCACATATTGTAATCATTACTCTGTGGCAGTATTAATTTTGGTAGCAGGTGTCGTTTTTTGGTACAATCTAATTAACTAATAACCTTTTAAAGTGATGAATTAAAAAACAGGTTCTATTAGCCTGCTATACAATTATAAAAAATCCAAACTGGTAGAGCAGTTCCAGTAATTTTTGAGACTGAACAAACTAGATACTTTATAAATGTAAATCTGTAACTTTTTCTAGTCACTGAATAAATACTAGCTACCATCCATTCCATAAGAATCGTGAGGATTGTATCCTCCGAGGAAAGTCATCGGGTCTGTTCCATTGGTGGACCATGTCCCATCCCCAACTCCAAAAGCTTGATAAGGAAGTGCTGTTGTACCGTAATAACCTGAAATATAAAATAAACAATATTAGCAATTGAAAGCAATTAAATATACTCAGAACAAAGTAAAGAGAATTGGAAGCTAGATATATGATGTATTTATTATACTGATAGAAAATATTCAGTCATTTATGTAATAGAATTAAAGTGACATGTTACTAAAAACATAAAAACGGTTTGTAAATAAATTGTTGATAGCAATAAATTGTGTATAATTATTAATTAGTAAGACATTGATGCAAGTACATCTATACTAATAATAGACAATATTATAAAGATAAAAGATTTTATTGTTTCTTTGTAATAGATAAACTCAAATACTACTTAACCGATTTAAAAAATTCTTTCACCTATAGAAAGCTGCATTATCAGCGAATAACACAGGCTATATATTATTTTCGAATTTTCTATCTACCCGTGCGAAACCAGGTCTGATGAATAGTGTATAATAATAGGTCAAAGTATTGTGATTGTAGGTATAACATTTCATAAAGGTGGAAATTTAATTTATTAGCATATTTTTAAGGAAGTGTTCTAACAGTGAAACTAAATATTTTTCCAAAAAGTTATGAGTTAATAAGTGAGTTAATAAAGTTGTTGGATTTGTATAGGAAGATCATCATTTTGGAATATTATGTATTTTTGTTTTACAAAACAGTCAATATATTCATACATAATTCATTAAATTTCATCTATGTGTGTATGTATATATATATATATATATATATATATATATATATATATATATATATATATATATATATATATATATATATATATATATATATATATATATATATATAGTATACATTTTATATAAAAAAAATTGCAAAGTATGTACCTACCTGCCGCGCTGTAGGGGTCGGCCGCTGACGAGATGGGCGGTGCGTAGGAAGGTTGCTGTTGTTGACGCCATGACACCTCCGCCAACTCGTCGCCGCCACTCTCTAACTGTTGCTCTTTCGGTGCATTTGTCACTGTCGATTTATATATTAGTACATTAAAAATTATGTTCAATAGCAGTAACGATCTTAGGAAAAAAGGGCCGAGAGGGGATCGGACTTCGCTCGGGGGCGCCGAGATCCAAGGGGAAGCGAGGTCTAAAATAGCGACATGCGAACAATTGAATCAGTAAAGGATCAAATCAAATTCCATGCTGGCACTTTAGAATGAACAGTGGATTCCTGCTACATTTTTATTTTCGTCATGGGGGGCGGGGAGTGGGAGGAGTCAAGAATTTGCTCAGGGGCAAGACAGTAAAGCATCATGATATGATCTTAACATATTGTACATTTTGTCCAGACACAATGGGTAGTCTACCTGATACCTGAAAGATGGCCCTGTTTACAAGTCAGTCAGTCACTTACTGCTAGTAAGCTATAAAACTACTATTATTTATATGATCTTTAATCCAGTCACCATTTTGACTCAGAAGGTGAGTTAACATTAAAAATCTCACCTTACTCAGAAATAACATAAACAACATGTGATGAAATTAATTATTAGTTTAGAAACTTTAGTCAAAGATAAACAATGGAGCTATGGAATTCATATGTAGGCAATACTGTTATCATAAATAAATTTCCTAGTTCGAAATAGCATCCTTTAAGTCATTGTTAAAGTTCTCTGGTTTTCATGAAATACATATATTCTCTTAGAATTCCAGTAATATTTAAGGAAATATATAATATAAAAAAAAACTTCAATGTCACAATCTTCTTTTACACTAACTTACATTACACACTCATCATTCTAACATAAAAACACTCTTATGGATAAGCAAAGTCAGTTTATTTAATAGAACAAATGTGTTAACCTAATAAAAATAAGAGAAAAGGGCAATGACCCTCATTTTAAAAATCTATATCTATCTCTGAACATTACAATAAAATGTGTTAAGCGACATATGAATTTTCAATTGATGGTAGATAAATAAATATATCATATAAAAAAAGAAACTATATTTCTGCTAGGTTGTGACAGACAAACAGGTATTACTGTTGACATTAAAAAAATATTTATTTCAGATGGTATGGTATTCACATCATGTCTTTACAGGACAGTGAAGAAATTTGATAATTAAAGTATTACTTTTACTTATATACCTATCATTTTATTATTATTGACCTTGACATATAAGTAGATACATAAAAATTAAACAAGTAGATAATAGGTCTAATCTAACAAAGACATTGTCATTAATAAAATTTAAAGGCCAATACACTGTAGCATGTTTTAGTTAAAAATAACAATCTTTCATACAGCAAACAAGATACAAATGTTAGTATATCAATAGACATTTGCTTTCATAGCTTGTTTGAAATAATTATGTCAAATGAACAAAAGTTATCCTTAATTACATGTTACATTAATGAATTTAATGTAATTACTTTGATGATTACATAATATAAATTAAGTAGGTACTTCAGTTCGCAACTACAAATGTCATCAACCACATATAAAAGACTTTGTTTTATAAAAAGAAACTACACAAAAAGTATTGTTTTTTTTTTTTTTTTAAATGTTTAATTCACATTCAATTATCTCCTCTATAAAATATTTCATTAATGTGTTTCTAATAATCAGTTCTTTAACAGAAAAAAAGCATGAAAAATAATGACAATTAATGTAAATCTGAGCCTTTTTTCATAAGTACAATACTTAATATACATTCATGAAATATTGTATAAAAAGATATTCATTTTGTCATATTGTTTGTCATAAAGTTATGATGGTGGTTATGACTGGTGTTACTAGAATTATTACTTCAAATAGATACCACATATATTACATGCACCATATAGCTTGGTGGTCTTAAAATAGCCTTGTACCACTATATATCTACATGCACGACATTTTAAATGTTTAGTTTGGCAAAGAAAATTATGGCAACCAAAATAAAACAAATTAGTATTTAAAATAGACAAATACTGTTAATTAGGTCTCAAGTATATGTCACAATTACACAATTAAGCTGATATTAGATTGTACAGATATACATAGGTGCAATATCAAATTAGTCTACAAATTTAGTACTTTGAGGAGTGTAAAGATATCTGTAAGTCTATATATTCTGTGTACTGATGTTACATTCACTAACCAGTTGATAGACATTAATGTTGATATGATAACATATGTTGAGTAAGACCAATAAATCGCCTATTTACTTAAAGCCATAAACCACTGTCATAAGTTAATAATATTACATTATAATCTATCGTGAAAATGCGTGCATTTTAGAAAGTGAAAATAGGAGAAAGCAAAATACATATGATGTTAATGTTGATTTCATCGCAAAAGCACCGGATACAAAGTCGACCGGTACGGTGTTCCTCCTACGGAGAAAACACCTTGCAACGTCATAATGGTTTCACTTTACCTTGGTTCCCTTGCCCTTTCATCCGCTACACGCCACATTTACATGAAACAAGGAATAGCATAACGTCATTAAATTCGATAAATTCTGATATATATTTGTAAATAATGCAAAAAGATAGTACAAATGCGAAATACCTGATCTGACACGCCTGCTGACATTGGCCGCGATTTCGAGAAATTTAGCACTCAGGGAAGTCTTTGCGCACAAAAGTAACAAAATAAATCACATCAGTTTCACTACACAAAGTCTGGCGAGTCTGATAATCAACTAATCACTTTAAAATGTCCGTAATTAATAATTAACACTAAATGTCCGACACGGATGGAAGTTTATTAATGGCGACCACAGTGTTGCCATTATATTTTTTTTGGAAATACTAAAAATAACTGAATAAGAAGAATAAAAAAAAAATTGGATCCAGTTGAATAAATAAAAATCAATAATAATTTTCAAGACTTTTATTTATGACTAGCTCTATCTTATTACTTCAGATACAAATTAGGATGAAGGATATAAGATTGTCTGTGTAATTTTACTTCAGATGAATAACTATATATTCCAATATCTCCGGGTTGAACCAACTATATTTCATTCATTCTAAAATATTATTGTATAAAAAAACCTTTTTTTATAATAGGGGCGAAAATAAAAGTATTTACCTTTATTTTCGCCCCTATTATCTATATTAAATTTGATAGTTTATAAATAAAATATCTTGTTTCCTTTATAAATATTTTAGGTTTCTTCATCCACCTTGCTGTACCCCATTACCCGAGACTCATTATAAATATACTACTTCTTAAAAAGGAAAATAGCAAATCTTTAGTAGGCATTTCATTTTTTCCTTAAATTGAAGAAAGCAATTTTTAATGCAACTTGAAATAGTAAAAAAGCAAGGGCGAATTAACGGTCTTATAATATAATCAATCTCTTATTTGAATACATAACAATAAGAAAAAATTCATTGTACAAATATTAAAAAAAAAATGTTTATTTTATAATTGTGTAACAAGAATCGATTTTAGTTATTACTTGAATACTTAATACAATATTATTACATAATTGTCTAAACCTAAAACATATTGTCTGTTTTACTTATTTCTTTGTAAAGAAGGATGAAATAGTTTTAGTACCACTAGCAGCTTTTTGTCTGGCCTTTTCTTTGGCCGATAATGGGCGCTCTTTTTTAACTTCGGTATAACTTTGATTTATACTGATATCTATGCTGTCTCCATTGACTCCATTTGATTCTTGTTTTACTTTCTTATTAGGGTCACTGATATCTGTTGCTTCAGATTTTCTCTTCTTTCCAATAGATTCAATCAGGTCAGGTTTAAAATGAAATTTTTTTTCTAAAAGTTCTACAAGATCATCTTGAAGATATTCAGAAACCATCCCATGTGCATATTTAAGGTAGATTTCTGTAAAATTTAAATAATACATGAAATGATTTATATTTTATAAGCAGATATTATGTATATATTCTTTAATCAGTTGCCTACAGCTTTGCACTTATAAATAGTACATGAAGTATCTTATGTGCTAAGTTAAGATATAACCTACTCATGTACTAAATTTCATTCAAATGCATTATGTAGTTTCTGTGTGAAAGAGTAACAAACACCCATCCATGGTTACATATTTGCACATTTATTATATTAATAGAATTGCATTCACAACAACAACATAGCGAAGGAAGTTACAATTTCATTTTTATCATATTAAAAATAGCATTTGCTTATCCAAAACAATGATATAACAGACTGCTTCACCTAGAATTCTAGACAAATCCATGGATGACTAGTAGGAATCAGTTCTTTAGACTGTGCTACAACAAACAGTAGATAAATGGAGAGAGTATTACTATTACCTTCATCAATATTATCATTCCCAATGTTACTAGCTACAAACGTGGCAGAAGTGGCTCCTGAAGTGACATGGATGTTTTTCTCTCTTAATACTGTTGCTAATTTCTTAACTCTTCCTTCAAGCCATGCTAAAGTTTTTTCCTCATTGTACTTGTAAGCTTTCATATCTGCTGGACCCTTAAAATATAGATATAACCATCAAGATAATATGGATTTTCTTTATTTCTCTTGCAATGGTAAAATAGCCACATTTTATAAAATCTTAGAACATTTTATGAAGAAAGAATGTCAAGAATTAATCTTAATTTTTTATATAAAATATTTTAAATAAGATATCAAATGCATTGAATAATATTTTATATCCTACATGAAGAAGTAATATATAAAAATAGACACCTTTAAATCGCCAATCAAATCTATATTAGTAACATAATCTAATAATTTGCTATAACCTTTTTCTGACAATAAGTCTTCTAAGGGCACAGCCCTACTACTGCATTGCTCTCTCAGTCGTGGTAGTACTGAAACAATTCACTTATTACAATTCAAAATAAATGCAGTATTATTTACTTGATTTTTCAGGCTTCAAACCAAAGAGGCATAGGTGCAAAAATGAATTTTGACATAAACACAATTATTAATTTACTTTAGGTTCTATTTAGCTTAAAAATATGGACCCTACTCAATAAAGAAAGAACTTTTATAACTTCATACAAATATGTTTTTAATTTGGCCAATTCAAAAAAGTATAATATTATTATTTTTTTTCTCTCCTGAAGAGTTTTGCATGAACACCCCTATAGTTTGAAGGCCAAAATATAATAAAGTATACCTAAAAATAAAGGATTAACTGGAGTCAACAAAAGCAAGTTGCCATCTGATTTGACAGTTTCATCAATGAACCAGGACCGGTATGGTTCACTAAATAATACCAGTTCATACATCTTATTATGAATATGGTCCAGGGCATACTTAGCAGGTTTACCATGTGCAGGATGTGGCAAGGTTATGATGTTGAAGTTACTGTTTTCAAATAATCCATCTGTAAATATAAAAACAAGCAATTAAAATTGAACTAAAATTATTACTAAATAAGCAAATAAGAACTTAAATTTTTTCATGACATCCCATTAGGGTATAACAATATAGACAGAGATAGCCAGAAATAGCCACTAAAAACAGCCCCTATTTTTTTCAATATTTTTTTAACAACCTTATAATTATTAAAAATTATAATAAAAATATATAATGAAAAGCTAGTTAGAAGCTTTCATATCGCTTTAGTTTTAATCAAATATCTATCACAGTTTCGTAGAATACAATTTTTAAAGTTTAGGATTGCAACCCCCATTTTTTAAAAAAGGTTCAAGTTAGGGGTTATATATTAAAGGCACCAGTGTCATCAAAGATGCCAGTGCAGATTTCATAAAGAAACCCAGTGAGATCCTTTTTAATAATCAGACAACAAATTGTATTTAATTATTAATTTAATTATGATTTTTTAAAAAGAAGCCTATCTGATTTTTGAGGTCCCACACCACCATTACACATTTTTTTTCTCTTATACATTTTTCTGAATAATAAATGGACAATTTATATCACCTGAGATTCCCCATATAATGTTCCTGTAACTTAAAGCATACAAAATACTTTTGAATGTTCTATGAGGTGTATAGGGCAAGGAGATTGTTTCAGTTATAGGTTTCATGTTGTGTAAGGAGGTAGTTTTTCAAGATACAATTGAAGTGCATTCTATGACTACAATTAAATAAATCAATATAATCTTTAACTCAATATTATGTTTTATAAGTTTAGTTAAATTATATCTACAAAAAAGAATGCAAACTAGTTAAAAATATAATATCAATTGAACCTGCAATATGTATATTATCCTGGTATCATAAAAAATTATACCTGTATCATAAGTATACTTACCAAGGTACTTTTGGCTGTACAGAAAAATATACTATAGATTTATAGTTCCAATATTCAAGTTCCGATTATATATATCTAATAATTAACATAACTGACTCTTGATTAATTACCTTTTATAAGAAGAATCCAAGAACTCTCGACACGTTTATTTGTTTTTAAAGGGCTTTCAGGCGATGACTTTGGCTTTTGAGATCGTGTCGTCATTTTTACTAAATATAAAAGTCAATGAAAAGTACCTTTTATAATTTACCGGTCTATTAATTTAAACGAGTACAGTATTATACTCGAAAATAGTGACTTAAATTGCACATTCTACAACACTGACTAGTAATATAGGTAACTAATTAATAATAAAACCTCTGAAACAGAACAATTATAACTTTAACAAATCTGATTCTGAAGTGACAAAAATATCAAGCTATCTAACCTCTATATAGCATAGAATACGAGTAAATTTTATAGTAAAATTTACTCGCATTCTATGATTTTAACCCGGCCTTAGGTGTATTATAGTTTGCTACCTGGAAGTTAAAAATTCAACCATTCAGTTATAAAAAAAGGATTTAGTATGAAAATGCGGACACTCATAAAAAAAAATAAAAAACAAATTTGAGTAAAATTAAAATTAAAGTATTCATTCGCCGCCAAAACTATAAATTTTTTTATTTGCCTGTTTTGTTATTACTCTGAGTTGTGTTTCTAACTTTTATTAATCATAGATAGTATAGAGTATATAATTCTAGTGAATAAATTCTTTGGTTTTTGTTACAGATTATATACACCTATAGATACAAGTAATTCAGCTTTAGTGATTTGATATGTAAAATAACACTTCAAATTGTGAGCGAAAATGCAGTTTGAGAGATATAGTGTTTAAACAATTTTTGTTGCTCATAAAAAGATACAGTTTTAGAGTACTTAAATTTAGTTACCGGTATTAAGTTTTGTGCGTTAGAGCTAACTATTGACTGTTTACAATTACAATTTGGTTTACAAATATTATTTTTGACATGAGTGTGAACGTATCTATCTATAAATGAATTAAACGATGTACGTAAAAACTTGATTATACAGAAACAGCAGTGTTTCCCAACCTTTTTTATGCTATGCCCCCCACCTGAACTTTTCTAAAATTTTTATGCCCCACATTCATAATTTTTCCCGACAAATTTTACTTGACGACTCTAATCGCCTAGTTGATATTTTGGTAACGTAAAACGAAATTATACCTAATAAATTTTTACAGTATATTATAAATATGGACAGGTAATGTCACTAAAAGTAATGGACATTTTAAATACTTTTTACTTAACCGATTTATTTGAATACGTATATCGAAGAATCTTTGTAGATTTAAATGTGTATTGATGTTAGGAATAATTGAAGTAGAATCCATTTTATTTTATGCGAGTTTTTGGAAATACCTACGTATGGGAATGGATAATATGAGTGAATAATTTGTAATTAAGTTGATTAAATGTAATAAATATTTAATTGTGTTATCTTAAGTTTCATTTTTTAATGTTATTTTCTTAATTCGTATTCAAATAAACATTTTTATTACTATAAAAACGGCGGTCATTTTGATGAATTTGACATATTTGAAATGACAGATATAGATATGTTCAGTCAAAAAAAAAATCATACGTTGTCTAAGTTTATATACAATATTAAAAAAAGTTTAATTTGACAATTTGCTGACAAATGTTGATCTGTTTTTGAAGTTTAAGTATCTATCTATATAATCTAAATTCAAGAGTTATAAAATTTGGAAAAATATTTTGTATAACCATCTAGAACCACCAATATAAATAAATTAATATTCATAGTATCGAAATAATACAAACTAAATAGTTATTACTAGACATACTATTATTATAATTTTGATAAAATTTCTATGCGAGCAATCTGTTAGTATATCTTTTCATTTAAAAAAGAGTGTTTTCAAATCGATTTAAAATTAAAAGAGTATGAAACAAAAAGATCCAACCGAAATAAAAACTTTCTTTTTGAAGTCAGTTCCTAGTAAAATGGTTTTATTTGTTATCTCTTGACAGCTGCCGAGACAACATATGTATATCACATACATACATACATATCTGTCACACCTGTCTCCTTTTAGGCAGAAACAATGGAATTTAATATATCACACATTATCATTAAATTTAATATACGCGCTATTTAAGGTATTAAAGGAGATGGGCTATTTTTATTTGAGTCAATGAACTTAGACCTGTCATACGCATAAATTTGTCTTAAAATGTAATAATTCATAAAATCCAAACAAGTTTTCACAATATTATAATAATATTTTTTACAAAATGTATTTACAACTGAACTCTCATTTTTAAATACTATATCAGATATAAAGCATCATGGATTGATGTTAATAGCGATGATGAAATTGTGGAATACTATTTAAGTTGTAATATTGCATAGAAATGGTTGCATAGGATCATAGAAATGGTTGCATAGAATTATACAAATACTTTTTATTGGAATTAACCTTCACTTTATTCTTGTAATAATATTTTTATTTTTTCCCGGCAAATTTTGCTTATATGATTACTGATTTTTACTGATGATAACTTCTTCAGGTTTAATCATTACACGCATTTTAAAACAATATGCAAGCATTTCTTAAAACAGGTAAAATATCAGCTACTGATAAGCCCTCTTCATCTGGAATAAAGACTTCAACAAAAAAGAAACCTCCAGCGCCGTGGGTTGAGAAATAGTAAGTCCATGATTAATGTTTTCTTTTGGAAATGTCTTGTTTGATTCGGTATAGTTTGTATACTTATAAATTATCAAATAAATTTCAGTCGGCCGAAGACTATAGATGACATAGTTGACCAAGGAGAAGTGGTACAAGTTCTTCGAGAATGTTTGTCAGGTGGGGACTTGCCGCATTTGTTATTTTACGGCCCTCCTGGTACAGGGAAGACGAGTGCTATTCTTGCGGCTGCCCGACAACTCTTTGGAGATATAACACGCGACCGTGTATTAGAATTAAATGCATCTGACGAACGCGGTATCCAGGTTGTTCGGGATAAAGTGAAGGCATTTGCTCAACTTACTGTTAGCGCCACTAGACTTGAGTTAGTATATCTTTATTTTTGTATTATTTTGCTTGTACATAGGTCTCCATGAACATATTACATTGTGCCATTTAGTCTAGCCAAAGTCTTTGGATTCATGAGTGTATAATGAATAATGAATGAATGTATAATGAAATTTACATGTTTCAATTTCATTATTTAAGTGGACGACCCTGCCCTCCATACAAGTTGGTGATATTGGATGAGGCTGATTCTATGACAACAGCAGCACAGGCAGCACTACGGCGTACAATGGAACGTGAAACACGAACTACTAGGTTTTGCTTGATCTGCAATTATGTCTCTAGGATCATACCTCCAATTACAAGTAGATGCTCAAAATTCAGATTTAAGCCTCTTGCAAGGGAAAATGTTATTAAAAGGTCTGTATGCATGTTTTATTTAAACAATAATAAATATGCTCACAATTGTTATCTATTGTTATGGGGTTAGAGGTTAGAGGCATTTGTTGAATATCAACATTGTGAAGAATGTTATTATATTTCCTCTTGAATCCAACACAATATAATAGACTCATTGCCTTGTCACAAAATACTTCATTATTAATAAAAAATAAAAACTAAAACATACAAACCTATTTTAATTATTAAAGGATTTTATCACTTGCTTTAAATTATATATTTTTCTGTTTTATATGTAATGTATTGTCTTATATATTTATTGTCAATTTAGAAGCTTAATATGCACTTGACTAAATAGCTTCATTACCATCTTTTCTATGTAAATGTAATGGTGAATGTTGTGCTTACCTGTAATCATTGTATGCATTTTATGTAGTACCTTAACTATTGGATTGTTTTAGAGTGTGTTAATATGTATGCTGTGGATTTGCCTTGTAAATAAATAAATAAATTGAGAATTTAACACAAATGCAAAAGTCTTCTATCTAAAATATGATTATGAGAAGTCTAATGTGTTTGTGAATAATATTTAAATAAAAATACTGTGAACATTTAAAAAAAATATTTCTAAAATGGCTCTAATAGCTCTATATAATATATATTAATAAAAATCTAGTAAATCACAATTCTGGTCTTATCTAAATGTCTTATGATGGTTATTTTATGTTAACAATCCACATTTGAAAAACCTCCAAAAAAATTATTTTTATCTGTTGGTGACAAGTACTTGCAATAATGTAGAATATCAGCTTGTTTTAATTGTAATTGTTTAAAAATATGAAAAGGGTACATATGTTGGATTGATTGTATTCAATAGATTACGTGAAATATGTGAAGCAGAGGGTGTTGATGTTGGTGAAGGTGATGTACTTCATCAGGCAGTAGACACATGCGAAGGGGATCTCCGTCGTGCTCTCACTGCACTGCAGTGCTGCCAGCGATTATTAGGAAAAATCACAGCCGATGGTCTTATTGAGGTATCCAAATTATATATATTACCAAACTGCTTGAAAATAACAGTGTTATAACCTGCACAGGAACAATAATGTCAATGATGTTAAATTTTATGACATCTATCTCACGCAAATTTGGAAAGAATAAAGATTAGATCTAGGATATTTATAAGATATGTAGGATAGAACATGTTTATATTTTTTTTATACCACTGAGGTGGCGAACAAGCATACGGCCCTATGAACGCCTGCAATACCAGAGGTATTACGCGCGCGTTGCCGACCCTGAAGAAACCTCTTTACTCCCCTTTTGAAGAACCACATGGTGTAGTCTCTTGGGAACCGCGTTGTACGCGACCATTTAGGCTGTAAGGTATGAGGGTGAACTCCCTGTCGATAGCGAGCCGTACGATGATAGAAAGTGGCCGTAGGCATCATATTGAATAATTCCTCTGAGCAATAGCTTGTCGTTGCACTGAGTCGAAGGGTTATGTATATATATATATATATATATATATATATATATATATATGTATATATATATATATATATATATATATATATATATGTATATATATATATATATATATATATATATATATATATATATATATATATATATATATATATATATATATATATATATATATATATATATATATATATATATATATATATATATATATGATATATATATATATATATATATATATATATATATATATATATATATATATATATATATATATCTATTAGAAAATTAGATTAGTTGAATTTCACCTACAAACAGGTACTTGATTTAATGTTTGTGGGTAAAATTTTACCAATTTTAGTAAGAAATAAAATAGATATATAACAGTTAAATTAATAATTTCTTGTGAATTAATATGTTGATGTTTCCCAAAATGACAGTGACTTGAATATGTTTTTCAATTTTGCCATTTAAAATTACATATTTTATTCTGTGCAGGTGACGGGCCTTGTTCCTGAAAATACAGTAAATGAGTACCTGAGCGTCAAGAATTACAGTGAACTAGAGAAGTTTGTTGATAAGTAAGTGTCTATTAATTAATTTTTATTTTTACTAGGTCTCACAAATGCATTCATTTATCTATTCAATGATTTTAAACCTATAAAATTATTGAATAGATGAAATAATGCTGTTACATATTTAGAAATATTTTATATACAGGTTGTAGTAACCACTAACATGTACCTATAGGCGTAATTAATTTAGTGCCAATCCTACCTTTAGAAAGCACCTTTTGACTATATGCAAAGACATGCCTATAAAATAACATTAAGTGTAAATAAAAAAATACTCCTTAGATAATGTTAATACACATTGAAATAGTTTTAATGTATTTAGCATTAATATAAACCTACATAGTTTCTCAGTGTTAAAAAAGCATGTTTATTTTGACCTGTATATTTTGTGCCAATAAACCAATATTATGCATATACCATATCGCTACACCTTTCGGTGATTACTGGTTCCCCATATAATACATATGTTTGTATGCAAGAGTAATGTCTAGTACTCATAGTATAACTTCTGTTTAGTTTGCAAATTGGGACTAGATGGCGCTGTGTGTCACCTCCAAGGATATTTATTATTTATATTAAAAATTTAAAATCTTTAATAATCATCTACATTGTTGTCTCGATAATTAGATTAGTAAACATAGCTTCGTGTCGATGTATATAATAGAATAATAATGGAAATAATCTTCTGTTAACAAATATTCAATGACACTTCTATGATTCGAAATGTATTATAAATTTAGTCAAAAAATTGTTTATCCACGTTCAAACATTCTAGTCCGTTTTTTAATGGGTGGACATAGTATGCTAACCTTGTCTATGCTATTGGTGTATGCTGGCAGGCCACTAGTGATAGGTGAGGATGCAAACAGATCAGCTAGCCCTTCGTGACGAATTTTACAATAATCAACCACGATGGTTTCCAGAGTCAACCACGTCCACGTGGTTAATATACCACGTGGTTAATATATCACGTGGTATATTAACCACGTGGAGTCAACCTGATAGGGTATACTACTATTACTAACAATAGGGTTGTTAATCCCCATTACTAAGCTCCCCCCCCCCCCCATTCGAATCCGTTGAACCCACTACTATTATAGGGTAATATATTTTTGTATTTTTCAAAATTTTACTAATTTATTTATTGGGTATTTTTTTTATACAACTTAGAATGGCAAACAAGCTGACAGCCCACCTGATGGAAAGTGGTAACCGTCGCCTATAGACATGAGCAGTAGCATGGACATAACAGAGTATACTGTTTCCCCAATGATACCCCCCATGCGTTGCCATTCCTGAGGACTCAGGTGTTATTCCTCCGTACCCAATAAATTCACGTATACATAATAATATAAAGATTTGTAATATTAAGTTAGATTTCAGATTTAATTAAAATTTATATCTACCTATATAATAATAATTTTATTACTAACTTGGTAGGTATTCAGTTTAAATAGTAGGTTAAATTCGACGGGATTCCAACCTTATTGTGCGGGCCCCGAGCCCAAAGGTAAACTTTTCAGTTTATTATTATTCCCGAACACGTTACGGTTTTTAAATATTTTTAAATAAATGTAGGTAGGTTCTTAGATATCTTATTAACCTATTAATATAATAAATGCGAAAGTTAATAACGATGGATGCATATGTGTTAATTTATCAAGCAAAATCTATAAAATGGATTTAAATGAAATTTCATATACGGGAAGGTTATATCCTAACTTAGCACATAGAATACTTTATAGTGCTGATTCACGCAGGTGAAACAGTGAGATACAGCTATTTTAATTTTTTAATTTTTCGCTGACTGATAGTTGTTTTAGACTCCTCTCACATAAGTTGTCCTTATTCTTTGTAACGAATTTAGCAATAATTATCAACTATCTGCGACATTGCCCGTGGACATTAATATATAAAATATCCTATGTGTTAAGTTAGGTAATAGGTATTCGTGTACTAAATTTAATTTCAAATCAATTCGGCTATTTAAAAATAAAGTTAAAAACATCCAAACACCTTTACAGTCTTTTACATTTATTAGAACACCTACATTTTATGTGAGTGCAAGTTGGCTACTACTAGATTTTCTACAAATCCAGATACTCTTTTTAGTTCAAATGTACTGAATAATCTGATGATAGATCGTGGTCGTGCTATAAAGCATCTTACGGGCACGCGGGCACGACTACAATAACTTAAGAAAATGTTACAGGTACAATTTTACAAAATTACGGTGCAATATAGCTTTGCTTTCTGTTTTTTTTTTCGTATCTTGTTTAGTAAACAATGGGGTCGATACTAAGGGGCCATTCCTCTAAACTCATCTCTAAAATTAAAATTTCAATTTGATATTACAGCGAAATATTTATTTTAAGGACCATATATTAATACTAAATTTAGATTTAATAATAATAGATTTACGTAAATTATTATTACTGTAAGTTATGCATGTATATACAAACATGTGTTATATACATATACTGTATTATTTTTATATATTTATTTATTATAATTATTGAAATCGACTTTACTCACGTAATAACTAGATTTTGTATTTGTTAAATATTTATGTATTTATTGTTATTTAAAGAATCATTCATTATTGTAGATTATTATTATTTAATTCAACAATTTATTATTGATTAAAAAAAATTATGTTTAGATAGTTAAAATAATTAGAAAAAGGTATTTAAAATAAGGTATTAATTAACAATTTAATGAATTATTCGAGGAAATAATTTAAAGTGTATATAAATAAGATATTAATTGACTCATTAGATTCATTACATAATAATAATTTACGATTACAATAATCCGTATCAGTATGATGATGAAGTAAGAATACCAGAGGAAGGCTTAGGCACCTTTGTCCCATTCGTGTTTCAATCGTGAAGCAGTTGTGTTTGCATGGCTTTGTTTCGGTTTGAAGGGTGGGAAATGGCAGTGAATTTACAGGGTACAGAGGAATAACATCTGAGTCCTCAGGAATGGCAACGCATGGGGGGAATCATGGGCGAAACAGTATACTCTGTTATGTCCATGGTACTGCTCATGTCTATAGGCGACGGTTACCACTTTCCATCAGGTGGGCCGTCAGCTTGTTTGCCATTCTAAGTTTTATAAAAAAAAAAAAAAAAATAGTTAACATAAGCAAAAAATGTATCATTAGCAAACAAAAATGCAGGCGCGTAAACGTAATTACACAAGTGTCTCAAATTACGCATAATTAGTATATTATGATTGGTCATTTAGTCATTATTAATTAAAAAAAATTGTAGGTAGAAAACACTCAATAATAAGATTTTTTTTATATACCTTCATTTAAAGTGTTCAGCCGTTTTAGCGTGATTAATAAACATGTAAACATGCATATATCTTTAAATTTTTTTTATATTTAATGAACTTACAAAGACATTTGAAGTGAGAGTTACAAATTTAATAAATAATACTTCTCTATCAATATTATGTTTAATTTATGTTATTTTATTACACATAATAATTGTGTTTTATAAACAAAAAAGGAAAAATAATCTAAGACGATTTTACATTACGGAATTTGTTTTAATGGCTGAGGAGAACGCTTTCTTTGTTTCATTAAAAAAATCGTCTAAGAAATAGGTATAAAATTTATAAATTGTTAATAGATTTTAATGTAATGTCTTTTTAGTACTATGAAGTCCGTGAACAAAAAAAAATCCCATAAATATAAATCATATACCATTTAATATTTTAAAATAAGAATATTGTATAATAAAAACAAAGGAACTAAGTAAAAGTATTTTAAACAAATAAGATCGTAAGAGAAATCTATAAAAAAAAAAAAGGAAAGAACGTCATATATTCACTTTCCTTCCAGGTTCCTAATGGACGCTTATTCGGCGTCGCAACTCTTGGAACAATTGAGTGCCACCGTGGTGACCGCCGGCCATCTTACCAACAAACAGAAGTGTGTTATTAGTGAAAAGGCAGCGGTGTGCTCGCATCGGCTCCTCGACGGTGGCGCGGAGTTCATGCAGCTCACAGACCTCGGGTGCACCATAATAACGGCCAACAATGACCCATGATGCTTATTCCGAGAGAGAGAGAGAGAGAGAGAAAGAGCACCTCTCTCTTTTTTTTTCTTGTTGCTAAGGTTAAGATGGCATTTATTATTTTTGAAATCGCATTATGAAATTTGGTGCATTTTGAAGAATGAGGTGATTCCTATTTTATAAAAGTAATGGTACCACAATGTAACTTAGTATTTTAATAACACTATTAAAATGATTTTTTTTATATTATTAAGTAATGTTTGTCCTTTATTCTCATTTTCCTCCATTTTTTGCCAACCACCGGCGGCTAACGGGCCTTTTTTCGTATTAATCTTTGTATTAATCATACTTCATCTACAGAATTGTAAGAATTCTAGTGTTAGTAAAATTTTTGTAAAGAAAATGCTGAGTTAAGTTGTATGAAACTACAAATAAATTTATTTGAATACTATAATTTTCTTTTGTTAATTCCTTTCATTGTTTGTGTGCACTCGAAACATATGCCGAGATACACATCAATATACCGGTCGTATTGAGCGAAGTACCAGCACCGTGTCTGCAGTTTACGCGCGCGTTCATTTCACTTCCGTTGTCGGTTGAACGGACGGACGGGCGAGTAGGAAAGAAAGAAAATAACGTTCTTACGAGCTTCATAGACGGTAAAGCGGCTTGATCGAGCACGTATATTTCGCTGTTTGTAAGACAAAGACGGAGCACCTACGGAGTGTACGGAACAGTTCCGTCTCTGCCTCCCAAACAGCAAAGGTGACGGGCTTGCCTCAAGCGGCTTGACCGTTTGTGTACTTCTTTGTAGAAAAGATAATATCGTGCAGTGATGCGGGGTGAGGACGCGCGGGCAGCGCTGCTGCAGGGGCGCCCCACCACGTCACGGTTTGCGCGCGCTGAGCCGTCATTGGTCGCCGCCGCCCCTCCCGGCCGCCGCACGCGCAGCGTCTAGCTTCCCAGATTTCAAATCTCGACCGTTTATTTCGTAGTGAGCCGGCGGAGAGCGCACGTCGCTGTACTGCCCGGTCGCGTTTAATTCTGGCCGTTTAAAAAACACGGCAACGTGCTCGTGAACAAACTGTTCGGTGCTACGAGGTGACATCGCGGACGATAAGTGCGTGCAGTGGTACGTGCGGAGCTGCGGGACTGTACGGTCGGCGAGTGGTCAATTTCTTTCGATGAGTGGAGGTTTAGTGCATGTCTTTTTACATCATGACTAGATCCACACTCATCCATGGAAGTTGCGTGGTTCGTCGCCGATGAGGAGGTGGAGGTGCCGGCATGCGGAGGAGCGGCGGACATAGACAGGACGCGGGGCGGCGAGCCGGTGATTACGGGCGGGTATCATTACCGGTACGTCGTAATGATACGTTAGCGGCAGGTAGGCGCTCTGACGCGAACCGATCGCTGGCCGCGTCTCTACCTGAGAGCCTCTGCCGCGCTGCCCAAAAATGTCGTTTAGTTACACTTCGCGCCGATTTGCTATTGCTTATTCAGAGTGAGTTTTTGTTGTAGTTTTTCATGATTACGCCTATGAAGAATGGTTATTTTTTATATACAAGTCACGGTTTTTAGCTTGGTTAGATAGTTTAGGTAAGTTTTTGTTGTAAGGTTATCGACGCATTCCTGAATACTCGTGTGCGGGGTAAGTGCACGCGGGCGAGGGGAAGGGAGCGGTAGATAGCGGGGCAAGCGCATCTGCTCCTTCTGAGAAAGGCCATTGTGGCGGTCCCAGAGTGGTCAGTGCGGTGACGTCACAGGCCGGGGCCGACAACCTTTCCCCCGTCTTGTACCCCCGCTAATGTATATCCGCCAAGTCGCGCTCGTTTTTGCATCATAGTGATAATTATGAACATGTCGACGTTGAGTTACCTCTCTAATAATGCTCGTTATTGTGCTGTCGGCACATGATTGTATTCATGACAAGTGAATAATGGTTGTCAACCTCTACTCAATAAATGAAACGTTATGAAATTAAGATGTTCTCATGTATGTCTAGTACCTATTTACTACTAACGACCCATGTTTGTTGTTAATATTTTATCAAACTTGTTTGCCCTATTCACTTAATACGGATGCTCGCATAGCTTTTTTTTTAATTAACAATAAAATATTCTAAGTTTGATATCTTACTAAAGCTTCAAGATGTTTTTAAAAAACCTTTTGGTATAGGTGGGTACAATTCTAATCATCAACCTAGGTAAAATTTTCAGGCAATAAAAATAAATGAAAAGTATTAATAAATTAACATCTTATTTTCTTTTCATTATCTTATTTTTTTTAGATTGTACGGTCTTAAGTAGGTACTCATTTAAGACCGTGCAGGCTAAAAATGTACGTTAGCTAGTAAGCTAATGACACGAACAGCTAGGTATATCCGCTTTATAAAATTAAATGCAAATAAATAACAGCAAATTGGTAAAGCGGATCTAAATGCGTGTTTGTAAGATTTTTGGTCACGTAAAAACTCTTCCTTTAAATGCAGTATAGATAAGCGTGGCAATGATTCCATTTTTTGTCCATTATACAAACTAACATGATTTCAATTTTTCAAAATAATAGCAAAAAAGTAGCTGTCTTTGATGTCTTAAAATATTAATTCTACATCAAAATGCATTGCCTAAATACCTACGTATGGTATTAGCCAAAAATTTGTAGTACTTAGTGTTTACGTTTGAAATTTTGAAATGCCTCCAAAATAAAAAAAAAATCAGTTATATGATAAAGGTCTTTAGTTAACTTTTTAAATAATCATTCAGTTTTTTTGAAAATTGACACTTAGTCTAAACATTACTAGACTTAATCCTGTTAAATCTGTGTTCTATCTCTCTATTTCATACTCAAATTCCTATAAGAAATATACATTTAGCTTCGCGTTCCACATGCACTGATGGTATTTCTTCACTCATTGTATCTACATAATGTATCGTAAGACAACATAAGGTTGAAGTTACCGGAAATATTAAGCAATTAAATAAATTAAAACTAAATTAAAAAAAAAAAAAAAAACTATTCGGTGGACAAGTCCAAATTGTTTTCTAGGTGACGGTTATAACATTCTATTATGGTGTCTGCATTTTAAAAAAAGTCTTTGTTATATCAATCGATTAATAAAATTAAATTTATGAAAATTTTCCTGCTCATTTGCAATACGAAATTTTACTCAATTTTACCTCACAATATATCTGTGTATCGGTTTTCCTGTATGTTTAATTCATACAAGTTCTACTGATATTTATTATAGTTCATATATATTATGCAGTGAACTTTACTGAAAACGGGCTTCATAAAGGTATTCGTGACAACAAAAAATGGCCTCCAAGAAAAAAATATATTGAAGTACTTATGGCTTAAATGTTTCTTTACACGGTCATAAGTCTTATTTTCAGAAGGAAAATAATTTTGAGACAAAAAAATACTGAAAACTGCATGCAGTAATTAATACTAACTTTTTTTAGGGACATAAAAATTATGTCCTTCCTGTGATTTTAAACCAGAATAAAATCTTTAAAAAACAAACGAAATATTTACATATTCCTTTAATTTTTATTGCAATATTAAATACATAAAATGGGATCGTAGTCCATCAGATTCCATGAATAGATATTGGACTTTGAAGAATTAATGGAATATCGTAATACCGAAGATAGTATAAAAATAAACGATTTTTAAACAATTGCCATTTCTAGGAATTAAAGGTTCGTATTGCGCCAATGATGTCTTTTAAAATGATCTAAAAGCTAAAAAACTTCATAGATATAGAAACGAAATATTTACGTATTTATATTACAAAATTCCCAGCCAGTCACATTTATATTTGACATAGAGAAAACAGATTAAAAAACTAATGCTGACCGCTTTTCAGTGTGTGTAACATAAGAACATTATACGGACATACATGGCAACTGGAATCGAAGTTGTAGATAATTTTTAAAATAGAGGAATAAGAAGAAAAATAGATATGTTTCTTTATTTTCAGTATTTGACAGAGAACCTGTTCATATGTTAAAATGCCTACTACATGAAAAGTAATAAAAATGATTTATTGTTCAAAATATCAAGGAAACAAGTATAGGTAATATAACGTTGCCGGTTTGAGTGCTAGAGCGGTATGGCAACTGCATAAAAGCGAAGCGATTAAATCGTTGAATAATACAATTTTATATTAAAAAAAAAAAAAACAATATTCTTAATTGAATATGATTCAAAAGAAAGAAGAAAAATCAGTTCGCAAGAGAACAAATTATATTATTAAAACCTATACGAATAGTTAACTCAGCTCTAGAATACAAAATTCAAAAGTAAGTTTACAAAAGGCTTCGCCGAGTAAATTACGTTCTGTCCATCAACAGAGACGGCTCGGCATTATTTCTACATATTTTTTTTATGCCTCGTAGAACTACTTAATAGTGTTCCGGGTAGTGAGTTTAGTGGGGCAGGTACTCAGGTAGAGAATAAAAGCGAGCTTAAATAATAAAATGTAGACGAGGTACGCCTTTGTGATTGCTTGATCTGTTCCACTTCGAATGGAATTGTATTTCAAAAGATACTGATATTTCTACATTACTGAAATTGAAAAAAAATTGACCTTAAAGACCATCGGAATTTAGTTATAGATTAAGACTATTGTATGGCATTATTACATAATTCTTATTGATTTCTATCTTCATTTTATACATACATATATACATTTTTATCTTAGGTGCTAACGAGATTTTATATGTTGTACATTTTTTGTTACAAAAAAAATTAAGAATAATTTTAATAAGTAGGTTGTGTTTATTTTTAATTTTTTTTATTATTGTCGTTATTACGTCACGTCACTTAAAGTAGGGGTTTATTTTATGCCAGAAATCAAAGGCACATTGTAACGAAATATGTGTTAAATTCGTGTATGTTCTAGATCATTTTTTTATGTAAAGTGTACATCAGTCGGACCCAGGATTCATAAAATATTAATGAACATCCTTCTATTAGCTTCCCTATTTATTTTTCCTCATTTTATGCATTATGTATAAAAAATATATAATGTGTATTATAATATCAATTTACAGTTAAAGACCCTCATAGATGCACTGCCTTCTTCTAGGTTTAATTTTGCCATAATATTAATTGTTTACATTAATAATCTTATACTTTAAAAAAGAAAGAATTTTATGTAAAAGTTACAGTGCTAATTTGTTTTAGTCACCTTATGACAATAATTTTCTAAGGTATCAGCAATCACAACTACGGAACCTTAATAATTTGTGTTCAAAACGGTCTTGGCCGGTTTTGCTAATAGTATAATTTCTCACCCTATCGCTCAAGTTTATTCCATTTACAATAAGTAAAAAGAACTCGTTTCTACAACATTTATTTTATTTTCATGCTTCTTTTGCCGTTGTACAGCTAATTATCCCTCATTAATTCGAGGTATG